TCAGGAGGCTTGGAAAATTTGCCTTTTCACCTTGGGAAGTTGGCACTTGTGGTCTATTTTCTGAGCTGTGGGGAAAGGAGTGCAAATGTCTTTGGATCTGAAGAAGATTCCCTGCCTTTGATTACAACTGATGGGGAACTAACCTGCCAGAAAAGAAGGGGAGAACTGAATTAGTGGCAATCTCCTCTGGTCTAGGAGTAAATAAACAGGTGGCAACAAGAAGTGGTGTTGAGTTCCCCTATCCCAAAGTTAAGTTCATGGAAAAAATGATGGTGAGAGGCACAGGCATTTAAAGACACAGTGAAGGTGACAGTGGGTGGAAGGTACACAGTGTTCGTTCTCCTTCACAGACCACTCAATAGAAGCTCTCCATGCATGAAATCAGGTTTCAGTGGGGGAACTCCAGTATTATTAACTGAAGTTGCAGTCCAAGACCAGTCATAGGACCACCTCCAGTGTGTGTCCTTGCCATGGAAGAGAGCTGTGAGGGGAAGAAGTCACCAACCAGCAAATTTTTGGAAAGTCCGTATTCCAATCAGCATTTTGAAAACTGATCTGTTCTTCAGGTGATCAGGGAGGAGGTTTTCTGAGGTCCTGCATTGGCTTTGTAAGGTGAACATCAACTAAAAGGTCTCTCTTCTCCCATAGCTTGAACACTATCAAAGGGTTTGATTCCAGCTGCCATCCCATCAGCCCTCCAAGAGAAAAAAAAAATGGTGTCCTGGGAGAGAAGTTCTCAATAGACATGGAATTGATTAGGAACTTTTTGGGAAGAGCTCTCAGGGGTGACTGCAGGACAGAGATGGGTCAGGAAACTCGTCTGGGAGAAGCAGGTAGGACCATCAGCACAGGAGAGCTGTGAGAGTCATCCCACATGAGGCCAACCCCAGGCTCCACTCGGGGTCATGGGGAGTGCAGAGGTGAGAGAAACACTCAAGGGGCTCCCTAGAAATTGGGTAAAAATGAAAGAATGAGCCTGAAGTGAGGGTGTTTGCTGGGGTGAAATGCAAGACCCTTATGGCATGAAGTGAAGCATCTAGAGACAGAAATGGAGACAACCTTGTTTGGAGTAACATCTCTGTGACTTACACACTGGAGATGGGCTTCATTGGGACAGGAGGGAAATCTGGGGCTCAGCCTGTTCTGAATTCATCCAGATTTAATACCAGAGTTTTTTTCATGATGTTGTGGTTTAACCCCAGATGGAAACTCAGTCCCACACTCGTTTACATCTCCCCTGGTGGATTGGGGAGACAATCAGAAGAGTAAAAGTGAAAAAACTTTTTCTGGGTTTAGATAAACACAGATTAATAGGTCTAAAAAAAAGCTATGCATGCAAAGCAAGGAATCATTCACCATGTCACTTCCCATGGGCAGGCAGGGCTCCGTCACATGAGACAGTGACTTGGGAAGACAAAATGCCATCACTTTGAGTGTTCCTCCCTTCCTTCTTCTTCTCCAAGGTTTTATTGCTGAACATGACACCAGATGGTCTGGAATATCCCTTGTGTCAGTTGGGATCAGCTATCCTGGCTGTGTCTCCTCCCTGTGCACCCCCAGCCCACTCACTGGTGGGGTGGGCTGAGGAGCAGAAAAGGCCTCGACTGTGTGTAAGAACATGTTTGACAATAACAAAAACATCCCGTATTTATGAGCACTGTTTCCAGCACACATCCAAACCATAGTTTTATACCAGCTACTTTGATGAAAAGTAACCAACCCAGCTAAAACCAGAATCTGGGATAAACTTGAGGGATGTAGAACAGATCATCCATGTGTGTAGTAGTAAGTTGAACAAGACCAGTTATAGTCACAGGATCACAGAATATGCTGAATTGGAAAGGACCCACAAGGATCATCGAGTCCAACTCCCAGCCCTGCACAGGACCATCCCCAACAGTCACACCATGTGCCTGAGAGGATCATCCAAACACTCCTTGAGCTCTGGCAGCCTTGGGGCTGTGCCCACTGCCCTGGGGAGCCTGTTCAGTGCCCAAGCACCCTCTGAGGGGAGAACCTTTTCCCGAGATCCAACCTAAACCTGCCCTGACACAACTTCAGGCCATTCCTTCAGATCCTGTCACTGGTCACCAGAGAGCAGAGATCAGTAGAGAAAACAGGTCTGATATTTTAAAAAGCAGTCTACATATCACCCTAAATCTTATTTCTGGGATGGGATAGTTCAGACCCTATCACTGTGTTTGTGAAGTCGTGTGTGTGTATATAGTTTTAATGTATACATATTTATATATATATACACTTTTATATATATATATATACATATATACTGGAGGTGTTTATTTGTTGCCATTTTGTCATCCAATCGCTCACTATCAAGAGTTGCCTGTACAGTTCTTCACACTCAACTTTCAGTCTTGTCATCTTGGACACTTTATTATCATCATCAAAACTGGTTGCTGTTTTAGCCATTCCCCTTTCCAAATCAGTTGGGAATATGTGAGACTGCACATACTCACTTGTTTAAACATATTTCATCGCTCTCTGAGCCTTGAGCCAAAACCACTGAGTAAATTACTGCTAATAACAACAAAGATCACAGGCTTTGCTTTAAGAAGACATTTTATTTTTGAGTGCGAATAAAATAATAATATATATATTGCTTCACATCCTCCAAGAGCTGCATGAACCTGAAGTGATTGAACATCCAAACATCCCTGTGAGGTAGGCTGGAATAGGTGGCCAAGGTGGCAAAGTGGCTTGTGTATTGAAAGCAAAAAAGGGAGTGACTTCAGCAAGGAAAAACCTGGATCTCCAGAAGCGGTGGGCTAACAGGACATGCCCTCTGGAAGCTTCTTTTAATGCTCATTTGCAGGAGGGTTTAGATAGAGGAGGAATCCATCAAAATCACCTCCTCAAGGCAGTGGAAATGTTGCTGGTACAAGGGCACTGACCCAGGCAAGCCTCCTCTTCTTACTCTGGCACAATCCTGCAAGAATAAAAAGAATCTTGTTATTTTGCTGAAGTGTAGCCTAAAGTTAATCTCTAAAGCCTCAATACCTACTAATTACCTTTCAAAGTAAATGTACAGCCTGCAACTTTAAAAACCTACATTTAGATGCCTCCATGGAAGGTCCCTGTGTGTGCTGGGTGTCCAGGTCTGTGCAAATCCAGTCCAAAAGAACTGTGGTCACTGGCAAACTAATTGTACTACCACTAGTAAGAACATTTTTATTCAACTCACTCCAAAATAAAGATTGGGGATTTGATGTGATTACTGAACATACAAGTCTAGTGCCACTTGAAGAGTTGTGGGGTATCTGATTGGCCTCTTTTCTGAAAATGAATTTTTTCCCATAGGTCATGAGTTACCTCAGCCAGACAAGTAGATATGGTTTAAATACTCCGAGGCACCCCAAAGGCCTCTAAACATCTCAATTTATCCTGCTGAATCAAGCTCTTCATGCCTAAATTCAAAGATTTCTTTTCAAGCAACCCAGTGAGTTGAATCCTGAGCTGGAAAAAATATTCTATTGTACTTCAGAATACCCTGTTCACTTCAACTTCTACTGTTGTATTGATCAACTCAGCTGAAAATCCAACAGCCCATATAAGAAGAGCTCTAATCCTGAACATTAACATCCAGCAGTGTCACATATAGGTATATTCTTCCAAGAAAGAATGTTTCTGTAGAAAAAATTACACCTGAGCCAAACTCTTATTCCTTCCCCAGCCCCAGTTTTCCTTTGATTAGGCCTAACAGATGCTTATAGAGAAATATGATGTTAGAGATCTGCTGTCTGCTCCTATTTGCTATCAGCAGAAATTGCTCCCTGAGGAGGATGAGCAGTCACAGAGGCTGAGGGTTCACATCATTCCTTTGTAAAATCACCTAATTACAGGTTACTTCTGTTCCATTTATTTTCCTGATATCCTAAGTGGATGGTTCCTTGACCTCCTGATAAGAAATCTCCCATTATTGGAATGACTTGGGTTTCCTGAAACCACCAGCTGACAGAGGATCCCCATGTGCTGAATAAATGTTATAAAACCTCCTTCCTAGAGCCCCCTCATCACACCTTCTTCGGTTTCTGGGAACATTTAAGCCCTGGCAATTCTATAAATAACAGGATTGGGAATTCTGTAAAATTCAGAAAATATGGATCTCAGCTCTCCCTTTATTTTAAACCAAGGTCTGTCCAGTCACATCAATGGTTGAGGATCTGCCTGAACATCATTGCTGGGATGAATTATGTTGTCACATTTGTCTTCTTCATCAGAAGATACAGGAACCTCTCCCATTTTGGCACTGAATTTGTAGTGTGTGACAGTCACTGCAGCTGGCAATGACCATCTTGTGGCCATTAATGGAACAAAGCTATTGCAAGAATTAATGCCTGAGGAATATGTTTTATTCTAAGCTAAAGAATATTCCCCAAAAGCATGTTCAAAGCCTTAAGGAAAGAAAAAACTGGCTATCAGGGAAACTCTAGACATTATTAAAAATTGGCCTCCAAAATCAAAAGTGAAATGCACACTGAAGTCTCTACTCACTCACAAATTCACTCCTCACCTTTCTAAGAACTGAGGAGAGATGGAAAGAAAGAGAGATGGGAAAAGAATGAGAAGCAGAGTTCTGTGAACATATTTCCCCCTTTAAATTTAAATTTTCTAGGCAATTTTGGAAATTAAAAGAACATAAGGAGGAGAAAATGTTTCCTCCCTTGGTGAAAATACTGTGAAATATTTTACTAAAAATTTCTTGAAAAACTTTCTTTTTTTCCTGCATCAAATTTAAAATAAAATGAATTCTGGGAAAATTTTGACCCTCCCTGAATCCTTTTTATTGTACATAACTTCCACCCAAATGAATTGTCTCGTTAAACACAGATTGATATACACATGTTAATCCTCCCTCTGGGCTTTCTCAAAAAGGGGCTGCCCTGCAAGCCCCAGGGAGTTGTGCAGATTATTCAGAGAAACAGTGGATAAAACAGCAGGACCAAACAATTCCCTGTGATGGCCTTCAGACCCTGTGGCACTTACTTGGAGCAGCAGTTCAGCATCCCGTTTTGGCAGGTCCCCGAGGCAGTGAAGGTGGGTGGGCACGCCCCGGCAAGGCAGAAATTTCCCTTTCCCTGGCTCTTGCACTCTGCAGTGTCAGCAAAAAGGGGATCTGCAGAACCTGTGAGAAGTGAAAAGTGTTAAAACCCTCAGTTTTCAGTCTAGAATGATGAAGGGTAAATGTTCATTAAATCATTAAATGCTCATTAAAACAGATGCTCTCGAGCCAACCCACTGCACCATCCCGATGGCATCAGATTTAGCCTGTCAGGTGATGGCTGCTTTTTCCCTCCTATGAACACACCTTTGCTTACAAACCCTTCTGTAGTTTATGGGATTTATTTTGCTTCTCACCTGAAGTAGCCTGGAAGATGAGGAGGAAAACAGCGAAGAGCAGGTAGAGGATCTTCATGGCTGCCAGTTGCTTGTGGGCTGTGAGGTCCTGCAAAGTGCCAATGGTGGATGGAGTTGGCTTGAGGAAAGGCTGGGAAAGACACCCTGTATTTATAGGGCCTGTGGGATTGTGCAAGTGTGACCACTGAGTGCTCTGTCAATGAGTAACTGCAATGAACCTTCTGGAGAGGGGCTGGTTATCCCCCTTATCGGGGGTGGCAGCGAACATGTTGCAATCCCCCACGGGAGAATTTCCACTTAATGTATCAGTTATATAATGTGACCATCAGCCAAGCCCCACCGAGCTGCACCAGTTTTCATGGCTTTTGCAGATGTCTTTCTGACACAGGCACAGGGAGGGGTTAGGCAGGGAGCTTGGAAGTCAGGCACCATTGGAGTGGGGACCTGGCTTTGACCCTGGATTCGTCACCCACTGACGATTCATGTAACATTTTGTCTCTGTCTCCCCATCCCTATCACCAGGTGGATGATGTCAAAGGCAGAGGAAAGCGTTGGGAAAGACTTGATATGATGCAACTGTTCTTTGCCACTTTTTAAACAGTCTCACCCACTGCAGAAGGGTGACACAATGATCTCTCCTTCCCTCAATCCTCACTTATATCATAGAATCACAGAATCACAGAATCATAGAATCATAGAATCATAGAATCATAGAATGGCCCGAATTGGAAGGGACCTTAAAGATCACGTCATTCCAACCCCCTGCCATGGGCAGCGACACCTTCCAGTAGACCAGGTTGCTCAGAGCCCCATCCAGCCTGGCATTCCATCCCACTTCATTCCCCACTGCCCTATGTTCAGCCTTATGTCACAAATTCTGACCTCCTTGCACTCAGTTCCTGTTTGCCCAAATTAAAAACCTCAAGAGTTAGAGTTCTGACACTAATACGTCTCTTTCCTTTTAAAGAAAGTAAACTATTTCATATACATGTACAAGTTTGTGATGCAATGCTGAATGTTTCCTCTCATACTGCCCCAAAAGGTTGGGAGAATGGGCTGATTCCATAAGAATCTTGGCTGACATAACTCCCCCAAGTGCAACATTTTCTGGGGCTTCATTTCAGACCACAATCTCTGCGGTTGTAAATTTTCTAAGAAGGGGATCAATGCAAAGAATGTTCCTCTTCGTGAAATCCTGGGCTTGTAGATGCCAAATGACCACAACATCTTTGCACCCACGGGAATCTTCCCTTTGCCCAAACACCGTCACCCCCAACAACAGGTTAAACTCTGTCACAGCCCAGATGTCTCTGCAGTTCCTGCCTCTGACATTCTGGTTTGGTGGTTTGCTTCCTTATTGCCTCATTTATTGTGTTGAACTTGGAGTTAATGGTATTTTTGCTATAAGAATTATTTGAAGGATGAAAACATTACCCATGTTTATGTTTAACCTCCGTGCTCTCAGGCAGGCTCGAGCAGCTGAGAGAGCAGCAACAAGGTGAGTTACTTAAGTGTTTATGCAGCAAACAACAGCAACATAAACACTGATTTCCCTCTTCCACCCATAAAATCTAATTAACCAAGAAATGTCAAGTGTTGAGGTTTTTTGTTCCTTTTTTTTTGTACCCTTGCCTTGGAAATTGTCTTTTTTCTTTGCCAGCAACTCTCCAGCTTTCCCCATTTCTAATGGAGAGATGAGCTGATTCGTCACTTCTCTCTTTCCTCTTTCAGTGACATGTCAGTGGGACCCTCTGAAGGAGAGACAGATACTTGATCAGCAACACCAGGAAACAAAACCCTTTTGTTTTTATCAAGACCCACTGAAATGTGAATTTGCCCAACCTGTCTTCCTCACAGACAGAAAACTTGTGATGTTTTGCAAATGGAAATGTGTTTTTGAGCATTCATCACTCCCTGAAGAAGTCCATGTTAGTTGTTTTTCCCAAATAAAATCAGGGTGTGGCACTGGGGAAGGTGGTGACCACTCTTTGTTATCACATGCAGTGATGCTTTTATGGTTGTACTGTTTCCCACCTGTGGAATGGAACAAATCCATTATCAGAGACTTATTGTTTTAATTTCATTGATGCAAACTGCCATAGCATTCAGATTTTACTGAACAGCCTCCTTTCTTGCAGAAGGAAAACATCCCTCTAGGAAATACGGAGGAAGTTTTTTACAGTGAGGGTGATGAAACACTGGCACAGGTTGCCCAGAGAAGCTGTGGCTTCCCCATCCCTGGAAGTGTCCAAGACCAGGTTGGACAGGGCTTAGAGCAACCTGGGATAGTGGAAGGTGTTCCTGCCCATGACATGGGGTGGAATGAGATGATCTTTAAGGTCCCTTCTAACCCGAACCATTCCAGTATTCTGTGATTCCATAACTCCATGAAAGTCAGCAACATTTCAAGCCCTGCTAGCACAGGTAACCAGGAATCATTCAGAGCAAAAGGAAAATTCCATGACTTTGACTTCTAGCAAGAACAAAGACAGGTGCAAACTGGTTGCTTAAAAACCAGGTGAAACTTGCACAAAACCCCCCAGGAACAGAGCAATTCATTCAGCACAGCAATGACCTGGGGCTGGAACACAACAGGGTGTGCGTGGAACTGTGTGCTGGGATGGAGCCCTGGAAATCTCTGTTGAGCATTAACTCCCAGATATGAACTGGGAACTCCAGGAACTGAGGGTGCCTCCCCAGAGATAGCAAGCTCTCTAAGCAAAGAGGATTTGGGGGGATTTTGCAATTGAGTTCTCTTCTCATCCAGAAGCACAGCCTTTCAAATGTGACATGGCAAGGAAAATCCAAAATGTTGAGTAGCAGCATTGTACCTGATTTCTCAGTCTTCTGCAAGGCAGGTGTTTTTATCCTCTTCTTCCCTTCTTGATTGACAAACTACCCCCCATAATAGTTCATAACAACCTCCCTTCAGGTACTATAGGCTTCAGTGCTTCATCCTGATTAATCATCAATAAGTTAATGAACTGGGATAATATCATGTTCTTCAATTGTGCTTTTTGTCTGACGCTTCCAAGATTAAGCAAGCAAAATAAAACAACAGACTGAAATCTTACATTCAATTTGTCATCATCACCAAGGCAATTTTAACAAATCCACTTGGGTTTTCTGATTTTTGTTGCTGCCTAGTGTCCCTTTACAGTTTTCTCTGTGGGAAATCAGTGTCAATCTCATTTACAGCTCTTATCTTTGCAGTGTAAGGAATGGAATGTTTTTCTACCACAGCTGATTGCAGATACTTCGTGGTAAGAGATGTGCACTCATTGCACCTCTGGCTGGATATCTACAGGTGAAGCTGGTGTCCGACCTGCTTCTCCACAGCATCTTACACTGCTTGGAACATAGGCATATCCCACACAGTGCAGGGAAGGAGCAGCTCAGGCCAATCACTCTGCAAATCTGTGTGTTGTCTGGACCACTGCCATGTCTATTTATTAACTTCCCATCCCATGAGGTATCTGAGAGGGGTAATTGAGAGGTGGGGTTGTTCAGCCTGGAGAAGAGAAGGATCCAGGGAGACCTTAGAGCCCCTTCCAGTGCCTAAAGGGGCTCCAAGAGAGATGGAGAGGGACTTGGGACAAGGGCCTGGAGTGATAAGACAAGGGGGAATGGCTTCAAACAGAAATAGGGTATATTTAGATTAGATATTAGGAAGAAATTCTTGACTGTGAGGGTGAGGCCCTGGCACAGATTATCCAGAGAAGCTGTGGCTGCCCCATCCCTGGAAGTGTTCAAGGCCAGGCTGGAAGGGGCTTGGAGCAACGTGGGATAATGGAAGATGTCCCTGCCCATGGCAGGGGTTTGGAATGAGATATCTTTAAGGTCCCTTCCAACCCAAACCCGTCTGTGATTCTATGATGCTGCTTCATCCATAGGGCTTTATTAGTGTAAATCCTCTAATGGATACATTTTGCTGTTGTGCAAAACGTTTACGTCAGTAAAGCGGTTTATGCCATTTCAAATGGGTTAAATGGGTGCACAAGGCACATTTTAACCTCTGTTTTTCCATCAGTCCTAACTGGGACAGCTACATTGCCCCCTAATAAAGAAACATCTTAAACCTTTTAGAGGAAGAGAAGTACAGCAGATCAGTTAATGAATCCTGGTGTGTGAGACATTTCCTAGTGTCACCGAAGAGGCACAAGAGGAGGCCCCTGTCCACGTAAGGTTCAGGGATGCTGCAATGCTGAGGTCTGGGGACCTGGTCAATTATTACCTACCCTTGGTTGCTTTGATCTCCGTTTCATGTGCCCTCACACTGCAATCCAGACAGTGAGTCAACATTAAACAGACATTTAAATGACAGCACTGGAAATCAGCATGGAGAAATGTACTGCCCTCTGCACCTCTAAGCTAAGGGAGAATTCCTTTGTGGGGGTGAGGGCGAGAAGGAATCAGAGTTTAAGAGGTAGGTGGGACACAGGATGTTCTGTATGTAATGAAGAAAAGACTAGTACTTCTCTGGTCCTGCATGATGAGTTTTGTGATCTGTCACACAGCCCTAATCCTGCTGGAGAGATGCTTTTCCTGGAAGGGGCTGAGGCTCCTGTGGGGGTGGTATCTTATGGAATAGAACAGAAGCCTTAAATTTAAGAAATATGGTGCAGTTGATGACAAACTAAAACACCAGAAGTGTTTTCACAGGCAGTGAGCAGTATCTAAATGCTTCCCTCTGTGCATCAGCTAAATGTCTACTATGGTGTATTGGGTAGGTTTCTGTTGATTTTGGCACCACCGTCGTAAAAACTATAATCACTGGAACTCCACTGGCTCACGTTAGGTAGGAAGTTGCTAGTGCTGCAGCCACAAGAATTGGATTCGTCACTGGTAGGACTTGGTTTTGCAATTTTGACTAAAAGTATGCATTTAAAGCTGCATAGGCACATGGTTATTTAGGAAAGCATACATATATATATATATATATTTAAAATCACTCAGGTCAGTTGACATTGACCTTCCCATGTATGTTCATCCTCTTTATCCTACTGCTAGCAATTTTTCCTGTGCCATAAGTTATTTGGGGTCCAAACATCTATTTTCTGCACAAATCAGTGTCCTCATTAAAGTTGCATGAGGTTTCTTCACAGTCTCTGCTTGGGTGCCACTGTCACCTAAGAAAATC